ATGTTATTGTTTGGTTTAGGAGAGGAGTTTATTGAAGGTGATTTCTAGATAGTAAAGTGGCATACCAATTCGTTTATTCAAGGTACGTACAAGTTACGAAACCTTGCTTGTAGGTGCATGTTTAAGGACGGTTCGAGAACTTAGTATCATGCATAGGAATGACTAGGTTAAATTGTTTGGTTATACATTGTGAATTTCATATGATGTGCACTATTTTATATTGCAAGTATTATTCGTGCTCTAATTATGCAAGGTGCGCTTAGAGGCAAAGATATGTGATTGGTGTAAAGATTAATTTATTACTCATTCATGATTATGCAAGTAGGATGAGTAAAGGAAGAATTTAAGTCTTATAAGACGAGGTTAAGGTTTTGGGGTGCCTTATGCACTCAAGGTGTTTATACACTGAGGTAGTTAAAGGAATAAATAATAAATGTTGCTTGTCACTAATAAATCAAGAATTGAAATTGGAAAATTGTTATACTTGATTGAATTGATATTGGATTGATTGTATTGTTTGCATATGAGTCATCACCAAGTCTAAACCAGTAAATCACGTAAACTGCAAGATGTATGAGCAATAAAACTCTGGATTGGTGCACATCTAGAGTAATGACAATCAGGGGTTGGGGTACATGGGGTATTAACCGTGTACTTTTATCGAGGCCGTCTGATATACGAGTCTTCTATTTCAAATATTTTTTTTAAAACTAGGAGTTAGGTGAGATCTCATACTAACTACGGTCACGGAGTTGCGCTCGTGGTCGTTGGATGTTTATTGATGTTTCCGAAAGGAGGCATGGGGTTTTTCTTTAATTGATGTTCCAAATGGAGCATAGGTTGGACAACCTAGTCTATTGCGTAATCCAATGAATAAAAATAATTATTTACCTATTATTAATTAATGAAGTCTTAGTAATATAAATAGTTGAGTCATGTGTCGAGTCTATAACTAATGACGCGTGATGATTGATTGTTAGTAGCATGTTAGGGATTTCTTTTATGTTTTGCAGCTTGTATGTACTCAGTTTTGCTGATTGCGTGCTTTATGTGTCTTCCTTTGGTCATGGCCTTCGCCTTTCAATGACCCTGTGACGATCCAATTTTTACACTTGTAATATTTGGGAGCAGATTAACCACAGGTTCTTACACGTGCAACATTCACATCAGGGTTGTGGGATTTTGAGTGGAGAGTTGGTTTTTGTTCGCAGTTTATCTCTTTTGCAAGTTTGAATTTATTTAAACTCTGGTTTTATTTATTTACAACTTTTATGGGCCGGGGTTTTGAATAAGGGTCTTAATGGTTCCAGCTTGTATCATTTAATTTGGTTTTGGTTATTGGTTTTGAAACTTATTTATAACTGAGTTAGTTTTTCCGCTGCTAATTTCTGATATAGCCTTAACGTTTGAACACGTGACGGTAGCACGCCAGTAATTCTCTTGGATTTTTTTCAGGGTATTTACAGGTTTTAAGAGAGAATTATTGGGGTGTTACAGTAGTAGGCTTGAGTTAATTAAATCGGTGCAAGTAAACCGGTAAATTGGCCGTTTAAAGGCAATTAGGATGGTTCCACGCACTCAATTGGACTCCCAGAGAGTATTAGGACAATGGTAAACATTTCGGCAATTTTAATTTCCAGGCGAAAAAAAAGTAAAAAAAAAATCCCAAAATTGAAGGCTTTTATCTACGCTTTTTGAGAAATTTTGGAGGTTTCGGAGCCCGGTGTCGAAAAGCCTTTAGATTTTAGGGGATACATCTCGGGTTCATATAATTCCGTTTGGAACCATATAGGATCATTATATGTTGTCATAAATGTTTGTTGTAGGCTTGAGTTAATGAAATTGGCGCAAGTTATAAACTGGTAAATTGGCTAACATTTCGGCAATTTTTATTTACTGTCGAATAAATTCAAAAATTGAAGGCTATATCCAAGATTTTTGAGAATTTTTGGAGTATTCGGGGCCCGATTTCGAAAAGTCTTGAAATTCTAGAGAATACATCTCGGGGTCATATAATGTTGTTTAGAACTACAGTCTATAAGTTAGGAAGATAATTATCTCCTTTGACCATACAACAAATATATACTATATATATTTAATTCTTAAATGTGAGGATGATGCTCCTTTCTTGTGCTGGCTTGGACCGACTTGGTCTCCCTAGACAAAATGCTTTGATCAACAATAATTAGGTGGTCTAAATTGCATTTAAGTTGATTCGAAATCGGGTCAGGAACAATTTGGGTTTAATTTAGGTCGGGTCAATAACAAGTCGTGTTGATTTGGAGTTGAGTTAGTAACAGATCGGGTTGAATTTTTTGGTCGGGTTAGTAATAGGTATGGTGAAATTAGGGTCTGGTAAATAACAAGTCGGGTTGAATTTGGGTCAGGTTAATAACAAGTTGGGTTGATTTCGGGTCGGGTTTGTAACAGGTTGGGTTAAATTCGGGTCGGGTTAATTCAGGTCAGGTTAGTAACAAGTTAGGTTAAATTTGGGTTTTGATGGGTTAAAACGGGTTTGGGTCAATTTCGGTTCAAGTCGGGTTCGGTTCAGGTCAATAATTTACGGGTTACATTCGAGTCGGGTCATCTCCAGGTTAGTTGATGTTCGGGTTTGAGTCTCACATACTCGGGTCAACTTAGGTCTAGGGTTGGTTTCAGGTCGAGTTTGGGTCACCATTTTTTCGGGTTCAGATGGTTTGGTTAATATAATCGGGTTTGAGTCAGTATTTCGGATCGGGTCAACTTTTGACAACTCTAATAAAAAGTACCAAATGCCATTGTTGTGCATGTACACCGTACACCTAGAATGAAGGTTGTAGTGCTTTGGCTTGTGAAAGCCAACTGTTAAGGCACAACAAACATATTTAAACAACGCATGTAAGTGTCCCATATTATTGATTAAGATGAGAGAATTAAACACTTTATAACATTAAAGGGCTACTTCTTCTATTGCTATGTATGGACTGAGATGGAACCTACCTAAACTCCTTGAATTTATAAAGTGAACACTTGTGGTGTGGCCTAAGCCTTGTATTCAATTGGAGAGTATATGAATAATCGATCTATTCAAATAATCCCCAGAATAGCTAATGAATTTTAGAAACTATAAGGATACCCCAATTTATTCCATTCTATTTTGTTAGTATATTTCATTCGTAAAAATATAAGCTAAGAGTATTAACTTTTATACTTGTATTTAGGATTGTCCATTTGGTACTATAGTAGTTTTGACTTTTACAAATGGTACCCAATTTTCAATTTTATTCCAAATAGTACCATTATACTTTCAATAATTTATTCTCTACTATAGCATTCTATCAAATATATTATGTATTTTTCGATTTGGATGTCATTAAAATTGATTGGTTAAAGTTTCAAGAGGATGTTTTAGCCTTTAGTGGCCTAAGGTTCAAGTTTAAGGTCAAAATTAGCAAAAATAATAATAATTAAAAAAAACGCTAAAAAATTTCTCGGATTAATTATGTGCAAGAAAAATATCCCAATTTGTATATTTTGATCTGTTTCGTGCAAAAAATGTTCGGTTAAAATTTTGGAAGTCATTATGACCTTAAAGGATAAAAATTTGCAGTCACAATTAGAATTAAAAGACCACAATTATTGCCCCAAACTAATGTTACATTTAACAAAATGCTATAGTAAGGAATAAGATAAAATTACAATGGTACTATGTGGATTTAAACTAAAAACTGGGTGCCAAATGGAAAAACCAAAACTACAATCATACTAAATAGAAAATCCCTTTATATTTTGATATTTTACCACATCGTGTGGTAAACTATTATGGAAGTTATTCTGTCAGTGTTGTAGGGTTATTTGTTCAACGTTATTGGTTACCCAGTCAGAGTTATAGGGGGTTACTCGGTCAGTGTAATAGGGGTTACTTAATTCTTATGCAAGCAGTCACATTGGTGGCTTGTCGCACAGTGCCTTAATTTTTTTTTTTTTTTTGAAGATTATTGAATTTGATGATTTTTAAAAGTATTTGTCAGTGTTATGGGGTAGCTTTGTTCTTTTGCAAGTAGTTTTTTGGACTAGCATGTGTGTTATTAGGATAAATAGTATTGGAAGTTATTTGAAAGTTATTTTTTAGAGAGGGATGGAAGAAGTTATTTGGAGTCTAAAAAAAAAGGAAAAAAACAGTGCATGATAATAGAGAGTTGAAGTTTTGGAGTGTTTTGGTTAAATGACTCTTAAATTATAAAATAGATTTGATTCCTTTTTATGTGGAGTCATGCTCATAGAGAGCAAAGTAGTCACTCACTTTAATACTTTACCGCTAATCTGATTTACATCTTGATAACTGTTGAGTTCATGAGAAAAAACCCACATGTGAATTGGTGTATCGTCCAACATTGGTTAAGTTTATAAGTGAAAATTTGTATTGGGATGTGTATCAAACATTAAAGAAATAAAATAAATTGTGTCCATTTTATAAGGCTAACGGGCTACTCCCTTTATTGCCATATGATTTTGAGGTGGAACTTCCTTGGCCCGTGTAAAGTAGACAGTTGTTATGGGTGTGCCCCAGACTCGTTTATCAATAAACAATACTTCCTTCTCTAATAGTTCTTCTAAATTTAATTTCATATTTTAAGAGAAGAGATTGAATATCAATTGCGTTGACGAATGTGTATATAGCTAGTGGTGTGTTGTACATGGGTGGCTTATCATCTAAAGAAGTAATCATCCGACAAAGGCAAATTTAAAATCATGCATGCATGTAACTCGCTACATTATTCTAATCAACAAATCTCCTCTCCCTTTCACCAATTATCATTAATCCAAAATTTGCAATTTGTAGGAAGCTAAGAGCTGTCCATCTTCTACATTTTATTTTATTTAGTTGTTAAAGGATACGCTCAACTTCAATTTTGATTTTCTGGTTAGGTGTATGGGTCCCTAAATCCATAATCTAAACAATTAATTGACCAGTTCTTCTCATCTCTTTTCTTTAATATACACTATAAGTAACCCTAAGCTATATCATTCAAACATGTACATTGCTCAAAATCGATCATCGTGATAAGCATGAAATCGATTTTGTTGCTTATTTCTCTCTTCCTTGGTTATGGTGATGTTGAACTTCATGCCTCCCTTCATTCCGATGATCCATATAGAACCGCTTACCATTTCCAACCTCTTAAAAATTGGATTAATGGTACGTTTTAATTAATCAATATATATATATTTTTTAACCTGAAATGTTAATACTACCTCCGTTAACTATTATTTGCAACAAAGGGGTATTATTTGTGAGATATAAAATATTCCTTTGTTGCAAATAATAGTTAACGGAGGTAGTATAGAGTTCGTATTGTGATCATTATATGCCTTTTTAATAAGTGTGTGATGCTAATTGCTAATTAAGTTGATTAAGTTAATTAGACAAATGCTTTGTTAATATGATACTGAGTACAAGTATATTATGCCATTAATTCCTAATTATTATTGTGTTGACTTTAACATGTGACCAACTATACACATACTGGCTTGGGCTAGATTAACTCCTAATATTGTGTTGAATTTACACATTCCTAGTTATTTATTAGACTCTATTTTGAGTCTCATTCTATGTTGTTGGGTAAGCTACCCTTGCTTATTTGCATCGTATGAATATGCATGGTCGCATGGACGTCAATCGTTTATCACAGTGAATTTGTGATGTATATTACTAAGTTACCTTATTTATTTTTTGCCAATATTTGTGAATCTTCTTGTTTGTTATTACTCTTGAATCTTGATCTAATGCAACTTTTCACCTTTGGTTATGTGATGGTGGATTGCGCTAATTGATATTCAAGATCCCAATGGTTAGTGTTTCTTTCTCAAATATTTCCCAAGCTAAAGTCAACTCTAACATATGCCCAATTTACTTATACAAGTATTACTATTTTTAATTAATTTAGTTGAAGTATATAGTACGTTAATTAGTATATTTTTGGTATTGCATCCATAGAATGATTGAAAGAATGATGAGACGTGTATAATTTAAATGAACATTAAAGTATAATAATTTGGGTTAATGCAACAAATAAATACTCAGCTTTATTGAGTTCAATCAGTTCATCCATCTTTTTTTTTTAATACTTCAAAGCTATATACGAAGTCTTGAAAATTTGTCATAGTTTCAAAAATAGCTTAGTTACGAAATATTTATAACTTTATACTAAAGGCAAGTTTTGAGATGACACACGTCATCTTCTAATTTAAAAATTTTCCGCCTAAATGTTATTTATTTTATTATTTTTTATCATCTTTGCCAAATGTTAACTTTTATATGTATTTGACATTAAACTTCTTCCATATATATTCTACCAATATATATTTTCATATCTTTCTTACCATTTTTATTGGGTAGTAATTTTCTATATGACTTTTTTTTAGGAAATTTTCTGTAAGACTTAATTTTTTTTTTTTAATTTTATTTTTATTTTTTTAATTTTTTAAATAAAGTTGTAAGAATCTATACTTTTGTAAATATAATACAAATATGCAATCCTAATAATTACTCAAATTATATATTTATACATAACTATGTATTTTTTTTTGTTTAATATTATAGGAATATTAGATAAAAAAAATACCCATTGAATATAATCATAACAATAGTACTAAAAAAACAAAATTAAATTCTCAACCATTCACTAAAAATGAAACAAGTAATTAGTTAAATTACTCATTTGCCTATCAAAGTGTGGGACTAAAAGTCGCATGAGTATTAACCTTGATTTTATTGTTATAATGTATTGTATATAAAGAAGTTATTTTTTCTGTAGTAATAATTAAACGTTGTAATTCGTAATAAATTTTTGTAAAACCGTGCATTGCACGGAATTTGTACTAGTACTATAACAAAGCTCAAGTTTTAATTTTCTTATATGTCCTTACAGCCTTACTTAAAAAAAATATTAATAAAATATAATGAAAAATAAATAAATCTTGTTCCTTAATTTTTCATTTCTTATCAGCTAGCTCTAGGGTTGTTGTCCAAAACCAAAATGGACTGGATCGAATTAGGCCAAACCAAAGACCAAAAAATCAAAAATACAAAATTTAGACCTATATGATTGGACCTATTAGTTATGCAAGGATCAAAACCATGATAATTTCTCCAACATATTGATGAGAAAATTAATCATTTAAAAATATTTATACAAATATAATTTGATCCAATATACTAATTTTAAACAAACTTGGATCATACCATATACAAAAACCTTAAAATTATATATCTACTCGTAGATAAAAGTAAAACCATTTATCAAATAAAGACTAGATGTCTAGATATTTTTTTTTTGAGAACAGATGTCTAGATTTGTATGGGATTAAAGAATATATATAGTTTAAAATCATTTACTATATATTTTGTCCCATATAACTTAAACCATTTTTTTTTACAGGACCAATGATATACAAAGGAATTTATCATCTATTTTACCAATACAACCCTGATGGTGTGGTATGGGCTCCACCAGTATGGGCCCACTCAACATCGACCGATCTAGTGAACTGGACCCCACAACCTATAGCCATTGAACCCCAAATGGAAGCCAACATCAATGGAAGTTGGTCAGGGTCAGCCACAATACTCCCAGGAAATAGACCTGCAATGCTTTTCACTGGGCTTAACTCTAAATATGAACAAGTTCAAGATTTGGCCTTCCCTAAAGATTTATCAGACCCATATCTCAAAGAATGGGCTTTGATAGCCCAAAACCCCGTAATGTTCCCTTCACCTGAAAATAATATTAATGCCAGCTCATTTCGGGACCCAACAACGGCTTGGATACTATCGGATGGAATATGGAGAGTGCTTGTTGGAAGCAAGACTGGGACAACTGGAACCTCCTTACTATTTAAAAGTAAGGATTTTGTTAATTGGGTTCAAACTAAAAGCCCACTATATTCTTATAAACTTAGTGGCATGTGGGAATGTCCTGATTTTTTTCCCGTTTACATAAATGGTAAACAAAATGGTGTTGATACTTCCGTAATTGGTCCTCATGTTAAGCACGTACTTAAAAATAGTTTGGATGATACTAAGCATGATATATATACGATTGGAACTTATAAGCCTAAGAAGGATGCTTATGTTCCCGATGTTGGTTTTATGAATGATTCGAGTTTAAGGTATGATTATGGTAAATATTACGCGTCTAAGACATTTTTTGATGACACAACTGAGAGGAGGATTTTACTCGGGTGGGCAAATGAGTCCTCAAGCGTGGCAGATGACATGAAAAAAGGATGGTCCGGCATTCATGTAAGTTTATTTTCGTTTCTACTTTTTGTTCTCTATATAGTATGATTACGTAAAATAATTCAATTTAAGTATTAATGTAGACAATTCCTAGAAGAATTTCGCTTGATAAACACGGGAAGCAGTTGATCCAATGGCCAATTTCCGAAATTGAAGCCTTGAGAGGAAAACCAACCCGTAAACCTGCCCAAGTGATTAAAGGAGGATCACTCGTAGAAATTTCTGGTGTAACTGCTGCTCAAGTAATTATATACTCCGTACTTCATATATTATTATTCGCATTCAATTAATAGTAAAAAAAAAAAAAAATTTCGTAGTGACCAGGCCATTTATAACATATTTGGTTGATTTTCGTGTGTTCATATTTGTAGGCAGACGTAGAAATATCATTTGGAATTCATGAGTTGAAGAATATAGAGAAATTTGATGCAAGTTGGACCGACCCACAATTGCTTTGTAGTCAAAAAGGGGCCTCGGTTAGTGGTGGGCTTGGCCCATTCGGGTTACTGACTTTGGCTTCAAAGGGCCTGGAAGAGTATACTGCTGTCTTTTTCAGAATTTTCAAAGCCCATGACAATAAATTTGTGGTCCTTATGTGTAGTGATCAAAGCAGGTGACTATAGACTAATTAAATTTATTGATCAACTGTATATGCATTGATGTTATATTTAGGGTATAATCACTATAATTGGTTCAAGATTAATTATTATTTGTTTATTTATTGTAATTTTGTAGGTCTTCTTTGAATCCAACTCCAGATAAAACAACTTATGGAACTTTTATGGATGTAGATCCTATCCACGAAGGATTGTCCTTGAGAATTTTGGTAAAGCTAGCGTATTTTGCTTTTATCTTTGATGGTCTAATTGTTACATTCGTGCCTTTAAGGTAATTTTTTTTTCTTTTTTTTGTTGTTGTTGGTGACAGATTGATCACTCTGTAGTAGAAAGCTTTGGAGGAAACGGAAAGAATGTTATTACATCCAGGGTGTATCCAACTTTGGCTATACATCACGCTGCCTATTTGTATGCCTTCAATTATGGGTCGGAGAGTGTTAGAATAACTTCCTTGACTGCTTGGTCTATGAAGAAAGCTAACATTGCTTAGCGTTTTCAATTACCCAAATACTCGAATAATGTTCGTTTGATAATTCAAGCTAAGATACGTACATGTGTGACTGTGTGAGTGACTTGCAAATGGAGAAGTTGAAATAGAAATACTCTTGCTAACCATTGGAGCACAACATATAAACGATTCATCTTATATTTTAATCATTTCATTCCAAATATTTGAGATTTTATTGGATTTGTTTCATAGATTATTTTCACAATATATATTTAATTGTTACATACTATTTATTATAAAATATAGATAATAAGTCAAAACCGTTCTAAATGCAATTCAATAAGAATATCTTTGAATTCTTCTCTAGTATTCTCCCTAACTTGTAAGGAAATTTATATGAAAGGTAAAATACTCTAGTTGAACCGTCCCTCAATTCCCCTTCATTCCTTCTAAGATTAGTAATTAGTAATATATACAATGTACAAAGCCATCACAAAGCATATATGTAGTTAGCCTAACATATTATCTAGGAGAATAATTAGACTACTACTCCGTATCTATGAGATAGAATAGTTGACTGAATATTTACTCACATAATGTTAGCTAACTAAGGAAAATATTCCAACTTCCTAATGTACAAAAATTCATATACGTACTATACAAAAGAAATATGTAAAACAAGTACTATAACAAACGATTATATTCTGTCATATGACATGTAATTCACTACAAGAAAATAACCTTTTCGTAGCGATTATTTTAACCTTTAGTATCGATTGTAATTGCAATAAAAAACTTTCCCAACGAATGGTCATTCGATACAATATCCCTTGTTGCCTTAGCCTTTAGTAGTGGTTTTCAATATCGCTGGGGTTGGCCTCAATAATCGATACGAAAAACTACATCCAATCGTGGTGATTATTGTAGCGATTACAATCGCTATAAATGTTTAACTCATTTTCTTCAAAGGAAAAAAAACATGTGTATGATCTTTACAAGATTGGAACATGCAACCTCAAACTCTTATATTAAATGTTTCACCAATAAGCTATGACATATTTTATGTATTCTTTGTCAAACAATATTTATATATCTAGTGTTGAAAAGGCTTTTCGTATCAATTTTTAGGATTTAGTGGCGATTGTAAATGTTACAATTTCTCAAAATTATATAAATGTGTAAAAATAGTGTTGATATGTATTATTAAGTTTTCCGTATCGATTTTATATGGGAAAACCATGGCGATTGTAAAAATGATACAACATCCTTAATTATTTCATAAACATACTTGCATATTGTAGCGAATGTACAATCGCTACGAAATAATCGCTACGAAAAGAGATTTTTCTTGTAGTGATTTGTATTTAAACCTTACGCAATTGGCTAAAGAATAAAATATTACAAAGATAATTGGTGTTTAACGTGTTATTGAGTTATAGTTCAGGAATCACAAAAACTTACGTATTAATAATTCTCCCATATATTTTATCAAATTTTAATTGATTATCATTTTGGTCGTCACTTTTCCATTGACAAATGTTCCACAAAAGAAACTATTTATTAAAATACTAATGTAACAAGTAACAACTATTTAATAACTATAGATCGAGCCGCCACTCCCTCCTTCTCTCTTCCTTGACTCTCTAAGGTTCACAAAAATCTGTATAACGTGGCTATTTTGCCAAACCTTTATCTCTTATGATCATATGAATTATTATACAATAATACAATGATTACAATTCATCGATAGAACTATTTGTTAAAATAGGGTATAAAAACAACTATATATATGAAAGTTGACGTGAAAAATGGTCAAAAGATAGATATACAATGATTGGAGCATTGTTAAATGAATTTTATTTGTTTAAGTTTATTATTATCGATTATGTATCTGTTATGAAGTAGATTATTATTTGAATTACTTTTAATTTGTACATGTCGTGATGGCGAATTAGATGGATATACTAGCCCATATTGCCTAATCCAAAAATATTATTTGAACGATGGGTGGTGGTGGATTTAATTAATTGATCTACTAACTTGTTATAATATTTAATTATTTACTATATGTCGTATTGCGATCGTATTCGTATACACTAGCTTGCCAAAAAGCCCAATATATATGTTCTAGCTTGTCAAATTCCAACCATGTAATTAATTACAACTCTTGTGTATTATTTTAAAACAAGTTGATCACAAGGATCAACTACATGCACTAGCTTGTTAAATTGTACAATCAAATTAAACCAGTTGATTTTCCATTCAATTCCATACTTCACGTACCCTCCAAATTAAAAGAAGGGCGATACCATACATGCACACGCATGCAATAATGTATTTTGAATTTGACCTTATATTATTGGAAGTAGTATTTATACAAGTAAGTATGGTGTTTCAAAAATGATAAATCCCAACAATTAATTAATTAATTAAATATGAGTCATCATCTCTTTTCCCCTATATATACCCTAGAAAATGAATACAATTTTGCAACCCTAAACCATAATTAATCATCTCCTTAATTTCCTACACATATGGCTTTGTTTTACTCAACAAAGCTAGTGTATTCTCTTCTTCTTGCTTCTCTAACTCTCGGCTATGGTGTAATCGAGCTCCAAGCCTCCCGCCATGTACAAAATGTTGCAACTTATAATCAATCTCTTTTATCTGACGATCAACCATACCGAACTGCCTACCATTTTCAACCCCTTAAGAATTGGATGAATGGTACGTTTTACTACAACTATATTATGCTTTGCATATTATACGTACTTTGGTATATTATGAAGCTAATTTTGTGAAAAATTGTTCTTCTCTTTGGTTACGTGATGATGAAATGTGCTAATCCATGCAATTTGGAAATGATGTAGATCCGTGTGGTTAGTTTTCCTTACCCTTGAAGAGTATATAATTACTGTTGAATTGTCCTAAATTCATCACTAGCAACTTAGCAAGCAGTTGATAATAACAACTTATATCACAATATTAACATGCAAACTACGAGTATTTGATAAGTGACATAATAAATTTAAAAATTTCTTTCAGGACCGATGATATACAGAGGAATTTATCACCTATTTTACCAATACAATCCAATTGGTGATGGATCACCCGATGGTCCTCGTGTATGGGGCCACTCAACATCATTGGATATGGTCAATTGGACTCCACAACCCCTAACCTTGCAACCACAAATGGTATCGAATATGAATGGGAGTTACACTGGGTCGATCACTATACTTCAGGGATATAAACCAGCCATTCTCTTTACCGGAATCACCCCTAAAAATGAACAAGTCCAAGATTTAGCCTTACCCAAAGATTTATCCGACCCATTTCTTAAAGAATGGGTTTTGGTGCCTCAAAATCCATTAATGTATCCTACCCTAGAAAATAATATAAATGCCAGTTCATTTAGGGACCCGACAACTGCTTGGATGTTGCCAGATGGAAATTGGAGAGTGGTTATTGGGAGTAAAATAGACCGTCTTGGTTTAGCTTTATTATTTAAAAGTAGGGATTTTATTAATTGGGTACAAGTCGACCACCCTTTATATTCATATGATCAAACTGGTATGTGGGAATGTCCTGATTTTTTTCCTGTTTATAGAAGTGGGTTACCAATTGGTGTTGATACCTCGGCTATTGGTCCTATTGTTAAACATGTGCTTAAGATTAGTTTAGATGATACTAAGCATGATGTATACACAATTGGTACGTATGATACTATGAGAGATGCATATGTTCCTGACGTGGGTTTTGAAAACGATTCGAGTTTAAGGTATGATTATGGTAAATATTACGCTGCAAAAACATTTTATGATAGTTCTAAGATGCAGAGGATACTGCTTAGTTGGGTTAACGAGTCATCGAGCTTGGAAGATGACATTAAAAAGGGATGGTCTGGAATTCATGTAAGATTATTTTGCCTTCTAGATAAAATATGATATTAAAAAAATGGTGTTATATATGTGTTTAATTAATTTCCCAATTATAATGCAGGCTATTCCTAGAAGAGTTTGGCTTGACACATCAAAAAAGCAATTGATTCAATGGCCAATTTCAGAAATTGAACTCTTGAGAGTTAACCCTGTCATATTACCCACCCAAGTGCTTAAAGGAGGATCAACCATAGAAATTCTGGGGATTACTGCTGCACAAGTAAAAATTTTACATTTGCGCATCTATAAATATTTGTGTATTTTTATTCTCTTCGTCTGTAGTCTATTGCAGTAATTTTATTTTTATTGATTAAAACTAATTTTTCTAATGACAATTTATTTTAATAATTAGTCCTCCTTTACAATCTATTAGTAGTATAATTAATTTACGTTCATATTATTGTGGTAAATGTGTAATTGGACTAATGTTTAAGGACATTTACAGGCAGATGTAGAATTATTGTTTCGAATTAGAGACGTATCAATCGTTGAGAGGTTTGATGCAAGTTGGACCAACCCACAATTACTTTGCAGCCAAAAGGGGGCCTCAGTAAGTGGTGGGCTCGGCCCATTTGGGCTACTCACTTTGGCTTCTAAGGGCCTCGAAGAGTATACTGCTGTTTTCTTCAGGATTTTTAAAGATTATGACAATAATAGATTTGTTGTTCTAATGTGCAGTGACCAAAGCAGGTAATTTGTGGATTTAATCATAATTTTTTTAAGGAAGTTTTTTATTCAAAGTTGATTATGTAGGAATAAAGTCATGGATGTAAATAATTCGTTTTCATTTTTAATTAACACATACTCGTATTTCTTATTATAAATTTGCAGATCTTCTTTAAATCCAACACCAGATAAAACAACATATGGAACTTTTGTGAACGTCGATCCCACTTTTGATGGGTTACGTTTAAGGACTTTGGTAAGAAAGCTTTACAAATTTGCATAATAACATTACCAATTAGTCATTACGTGCTTAACAAGATTTCGTGTTTGTGGCAGATTGATCACTCTATTGTGGAGAGCTTTGCGAGCAAAGGGAAAAATGTGATAACGGCAAGGGTTTATCCCACATTGGCAATATATGATAAGGCTCATTTGTATGCCTTCAACTATGGCAATGGCAGCGTTGATATCACTTGGTTGACTGCTTGGTCTATGAGAAAAGCTAATATTGCTTAATTAGAACAACTTGAAATCAAACCACTGCGCTCTGCTCGATCCTCAACATAAATTACTATCTTACTCTTATTGTGTACGTTTACCTTAAAAAACAATCGTTTATATTATACTATAGTAATATACTCAATATGAGTTGTATTGAAACTTTGTAACAAATATACTTTGAGAAATGAGAATATATAGTTTGAAAAAAAAAGTTGATAGCTTATGTAATCATTTTAATAACATTTTAATTTAATTTATACTTCACATATTGCTTATTATTTGCTTCTATGTTACAATAGGAGATTAATTGGATTGAAATTTCTTGTAAAACCACATGCTCTTCAATTCATTAATGTTCAAAACATAACTCAAACAAAAATTAAACAAAATCAAGAAGTAAATTTAATTATGTTCAAAACACAACAACATTATCCAATAATGGAGTTAGCTATAGTCGTCGAATCATGATCCTCTCCCTTCGTTCTCATTGAAATTGCTAACCGCGTACTCTTAGATAGATGTTACTTCATATATAGTTGATTAGATTAGTTGTGACTTTGTCCTAGAAGTCTAGAACACGGTAATATATAACACGCGATGTGGACTCGATCTTTAGTTTCATAACTCATTAATTCTTCATCCCAAGTGTACAATTTTAATTGCTGAATTTTTTCAAAATGATGAATTGGTCACCCCTCACCAATGCACCATCTTATGAGCTTGATGTCCACTTTATCATAAATTTCTGGCCCAAATTCATTTCTATTCATAATGATTGACTTTATGCACGCTAAGTCAACCTTCAAGAATTGAAGATCGAACCTTCTCTTTGTTTCTATTAATAGCCAATAATAAACTAACAATATTGCTAGTTAAGTTAAAGTTCGTTTTCTTAACCCACTAAGCTTACACGATAGAGTACATCAATGATCTTGTGGCTTATTTCTCTCCTCCTTGGCTATGGCGTGTTCGAGCTTCAAGCTATCTCTCCGCCTAATAATAATCAACCTTATCGAACTGGATTTCATTTTCAGCCCCTTAAGAATTACATGAATGGTACGTACATTATACAATTGCACACTAGTATCCGTATTTAAATTTATATGTATATTTTTTGGATGAATTAAGAAATAATACTTCATATCTAATTATCTATATGCTATATATGGTGCAATGTGTTCTAATGGACGGACATTGGAAAATGCAAGCAGATCCTAATGGTTAGTTGTATTTTATTTCATGTTCATTTGTTATTTATACTTTTCAAGTCAAGGTACGTAATAAGTCCTATATGATTTATTATCTCTTATAGGACTAATGTATTACAAAGGACTGTATCACTTGTTTTATCAATACAACCCCGTCGGCAATGGCTCATCCAACGGACACTACTAGAAAATGGCTTAATACCGACGGATTTTTTACGACGGACCTATTTTTCCGTCGCAAACTTTAATTTCAGCGACGGAATTAAGTGTGTTGCTAAAATGCGTCGGAAAATGTGAATTGCGACGGAAATTCCCTCGCAAAATTTACGACGGAATTTATTTCTGTCGGAAAATTAATTTTGCGACCGAAAATTCCGTAGCAAAATTTATTGCGACGGAATTTTCCGTCGGAAAATAATTACCGACGAAATAAATTCCGTCGCAAATACTTGAACTAGAAATCAAATTTCAAACCAGAAAGAACCAGGGAAAAAACACGGGGGAAGAGAGAGAAAGAAAGAAAGAAAGAAAGAAAGGGAGAAAGAGAGAGAAAGAAAGAGAAAGAGAAGAAGACGCGCCTCCGCCTGACCGTCGCCGTCGCCTCAGCCTGAGCGCGCCTCCGCCTGACCACCGGATCCCGCTGCCGCCGTTCTCCCCGACGGTAACCTCCGGTGTTAGGTTTTTGTTTTTTTTTTTAAATTCGCACTAACCACCGGGGCTTGTGAACAGCCACCACCGGCTTGTAGCAGCCGCCGTCACACCTACCCGGCCGGCGGCATTCCAAGAATTCCGGCTGCAGCGCCGGTGAGGTATTTTTATTATTTTTTTTTTATGTTTTAATTTTTTTTTTATTTAACCCTAACACCCCTTTTGTTTCAGGTGGCTCCACCGTTCCGCCTCCTACCAGAACCACCACCACCTTCATCCTCCCGCTGGTAAGAACTCTGAACATAATTTGACTTATTTTTTCATTTTTTTAAAATAAATATTGATATTTTACACCTTAATTAATGTTTAATTGTTAATATTTGTAGGATTTGTATCTTTGCCTTGCTTTGAATCTCAATAAAAAGTGCAGATCTATAGGTTCGTGACATTCTAATTTCTAAAATTGTTATTTTAGTTTATACTTGGAATGTTAGTGACTTAGATAAATGTTAGTTTGGTTTGATTTGGTTTATTATAATAAATAATAATGGTTGATATGTTAGTTAAGTTTAATTTGGTTTGGCATTTTTATAATAATGTAAGACATGACATGTAAATTTTGTTTGGTTTAGTATAATAATGTATGACATGATATGTTAGTTTAGGTTGATATTTTATTATAAAAATGTACCGCATGATATGTTAGTTTACATTGATTTAGTTTATTATAATAATGTATGTTAATTAGTTTAGTTTAATTTATTATTATTTAATAATGTATGTTAGTTTTGTTTAGTTTAATTTAATGCATGTTAGTTAATTTAGTAAAAAATATTTGTTTTATATAATTTTAAATGTAATGATTACTATATAATTGTTTATATCAATTTAATTATGATTATGATATATTTGGTTTACTTATAATGATTGTGTTATGTAATTTGCTTGGCATATTTTTAAATGAGCGTGTTATATTTACTTGATATATTTATGAATGAATCATTTGCATCATCATTTGCCTAGATACCCGTTCAAGGCATACTCATTAGGAGTATGTCTTGGATAGTCCCCGGTTGGGACTGTCCTTGGACGTTTATTCTCACTTAGGTGGTGAATGTATGCCTTGTTATTGATTCTAGGGAATATCCTGGCTAATCATTTCTCTACAATGTTCTCTGGGTACATATGACGGGTTATCTAATAGCCTACATCGTGTACTTGGAGAACATAAGGGAAATGCTGCCGGATTTTCCATAGAATTGATAACCTGGCATACATTCGCTAGTGAGATTAAATGTCCAAGGATGGGTTAGGTTGGAGTGATAAGGACCTTTGGACATCATGTACAATCTTATTATCATATTTTTAACATTTAGATGGTTAATGAATATTCAATACGCGTTGTGACTAATGTGATTATACATATTCATTAGTTTGTGTAGAAGTTGTAATCATGAAACGAACATAACGTAGCTGGATGTATGAAAGGAAGGTTGGGCATTCTATTAATCCGGAATTTGTGAAAGGGGTAGATGAATTCCTTAAATACGTGGAAGACCATCCGAGAGTAGCAACCCGAATGAAGTTAGGTGTCCATGTTTTAAATGTAAGAACAAACGACTTTGGGATGCGGAAACTGTTAAAATTCATTTGTACCGCAAGGGTTTCATACCTAATTACTATGAGTGGATATGAGGGAAAGTTATGTGGTCCTGTTCAATACAGATGGATGTATCCCTTCGAAAGGTAAATCAAAGTCCCCTTCACTTCCTCTTTCATTTTGAGGATATGGACCCAAAAACTTATAAATTTACTACTTTTATGTGATTTCAAGTCATAAACTCTTATAAATATGTAAATATGGGATGGTTTAAGAAAGAATGAGTTCAAAAGTTAAGAAATAAAGAAAATAGGCATGTAAGTACCCATTTTGGCTTGAAATGCCTTCATTTTGAGGATATGGACCCAAAAACTTATAAATTTGCTACTTTTATGTGATTTCAAGTCATAAACTCTTATAAATATGTAAATATGGGATGGTTTGAGAAATAATGAGTTTAAAAGTTAAGAAATAAAGAAAATAGGCATGTAAGTACCCATTTTGGCTTGAAATGGCTTCATTTTGAGGATATGAACCCAAAAACTTATAAATTTGCTACTTTTATGTGATTTCAAGTCTTCACTTATATGTTTATTTGCTTTACTTGTAACTTATGTTGTTGGGTAATTGTTTAAACTATATATTATTGTGTAATGTCTTTCTTGTAGGAGAACTACCAGAAGAATGTTGAAGAAGCCACCACTCAAGGGATTAAAAAGAGTCCTAATGAGTTGTTTTGGGAGAGCGTGGGTGGTCGCAACAAGAAGGGTTGAGTGAGGGGACTTGGCCAAAGTGCAGAGCTGTACTTTGGCAACCGGACGGGTCGAGGTTCTAGGTCTTCACAACAGTACACACCGTCTGTTGTTAGTCAGATGCAAGACCAGATGGACCATAGGGTGGAGGCTCTTCGTAGTGAGATACGCAATGAACTCCGGAGTGAAATACGAAGTGAACTTCGGAGTGAAATGGAAGTTGAGATGCAAGCTCAAATTCAAGCTGAAGTAGCCCAAATGGAAAGGAGAGCTGAGGAGAGGTGGAATGACTTCATCAGACGATTTGGCAACGACACCTGTTCCACCATTCAGCCTCAGCGACGAGACCCTAGGGATGACCCGGGTAGTGGAGGAGCAAGACATGGTACCCTTGCAGTTTTTTAGCCTAGCTTAGGTTTATGTAGTACGGACAAGTAGTTAATTAGAATTTATGTAGCATTTGATGATTTTCCCGCTTTTGTAGAATTACTATACATTATGTAGCTTTTAGATATGTTTAACTTCAGAATAGCTTTTGTGGAAATATATATATTTATATTTCCAAAATTGGTTTATGATTTTAATTTTCACAGGTATTAGGTGCAGGAACATAGGTTATTAATGCTGGACAACTAGAATTTTGGCTTTGTGAAATATATTATGCGACGGAAATAATTAATATTTAGTTTGTCGAAATTGATTTGCGACGGAAAAATGAAGAATATTCCGTTGCTGACACAATCCTTAATGACGGAAAATTCCCTCGCAAAAGTGAAAAGTTTGCGAGGGATTTAACTTCCGTCGCAATTAATATAATAGCGAGGGAATTTTCTGTCGTAGTTAATATTTTTGCAAGGGAATTTTCCGTCGCAATTAATATTTTAGCAAGGGAATTTTCCGTCGCAAATAATATTTCAGCAAGGGATTGTTCCGTCGCAAATAATATTTTAGCAAGGGAATTTTCCGTTGCAAATTACCGACGAAAACAATTCCGTCGCAAATATTGACC